TCTCTATGATTATTGTCCACGAGACAGAATATTATATATCTAAATAAATAAAAAAAAAAAAGCTTTGTAGGAGAGACTTGACAGTAAAAAACGGGCTTAAGATCCAGCAACAAGAACCTCTCTAATACAATCTAAGAAAGACACCCTCTCCCCCCCCCCATACCCAGAGAAAATAAGATATGTATCAGCCAGGGTTTATGAATGGTAGATTTTATTTCTACTCAATCGCACACATTTTATCGATAAAATACCAATTTTTTAACGTATGCCTCATCAGTGTCTACATTTGAATTTGATTGTCTCCAAAGATTTATTATTGCACTGTTGCATGAAATATGAAAACATACCATAATGTTTTGAGAACTTAAATCATTTTTACGAAAAAATTGTGTTACTTTAGGTACTTAAATTATTTATACAGAGTGTATATATTTTTAGAATGTGAATGGAAAAAACAAATCTCATTATAGATAAATGAAACTAATATTTGGATAGATACAGTTGTTTTCTCCTAGAGAAATCAACGAATTCATTGACTTAATGACCAGTCGGAAAGAATTTGTGTCTTAACTTTACCATCCGAACAATATTAATAATTATTATTAATAATGTTTACATGTCACGATAAATGAAGATTTTGATAAATACAACAGAAAATTTTAGATCAAAGAAGAAAACAGGGCCCAGTATTGTCAATTATTTTGTTATTTTAAACAAACGATGTATTATATCACAAGAAAACACTTGACATTCAAATAACACAAATAAAAAATATGGGCATCATTAAAGTATTTTATGCTGTTCGCTTTATCATTGCTTGTTTAAAAAAGGTTACAAGTTTGACGTTTAATATATATATATATATATATATTTACCATATTGACTGGTGATATTTAAAAAAACAATGACATTCTTTTTTTTTTTTTTTGTTTGATTGATCATATCACATTTCATTTATTTTTACTATCATCAATTATTTACTAAGATATAATACTAAAATATAGTTCGCGGTGCAGACCCCTTTTTATCAAATTATTAAGCCGCCTAAAACTTCATCTCATCGTAATTTGCAACCTTTTTATTTACGAATATTCTCGGAATTGGAGAGTTCTCAATCTAGAGACCGGTAAAATTTGTCAATTTAATTTTAATTAGGTACTAACCCTCATGAACACCCATTTACGTTCCACTTGAATCGTAAGATAATATCGTCACAAAATCAAGAAAAAAATTGGCCTACAAAAAATTAGCCATTTGGCATGACCCCACCTCCAACATGTCAAAATAACGAGGTTATATAGGCCAAACGGCACAAAAATTTTGTAAGTTTTTTTTTTCTATTTTGTAAACAAATTATCTTACGATTTAAGTGGAAAGCAAGTGGGTATTAATGATCTTTTTTAAATATTTAAATTAATTAATTTAATGAGAAAACGTCCCATTTTGGAAAATATTCGTAGATAAAAATTTGTTGGTTGCGATAAGATGAATCCATTAACGATGTTTTAGGTAGATGTTAATAATTGGAAAGCAAGGGGTCTGTACCACTGACTGTAGTCCAGTCAACGAATACACAGCAAGGGTGTGTAATAGGAAATGGAAGAAACAGTTTTTGACTTTAGAACTTTATTGAGATTGTTTTGAAGGCTATAACTAAATTCGCTCGTGGAAAGGCAGGTGGTAAGGTGGGGAGGAGGAGGGCGTCCGTCATCTCCTTCCCACCCCAAGGTCAATGGCACATCTCTCCTTCCCCCAAGATATTTTATTGCTCAACTCTTCTTAAGAACAATGCAAGTGAAAGTAGAATAAAAAAAATCGTAGATTATATACAAATACAGTTGCTACAGTTTATTAAATGCTTCCTTGTCTTTTGGTTTGTATCTTTTCATTTCAAAATTCATAAACCTGTAGAAATGTGCCCCATTCAAAAATTTTGATGGCGCCATGAAACCCCCTTTGGGTACCCCTACGTCCATCCGACAGTTTTTTATTTATTATACAAATTTTGGACTATGATTTTTAGAGTGGTATTTACTTCTTATTTCTTGGTCAGATACGAAGATTCACTTTTGAAGATAATAAACTAAAACCAAGAAGTGGTAACGATTAGGATAACCCAAATCTGTCCTGTATTAGTGGCGGTTTAACCCTTCTCCACAAACATCCTCTCCTACAGCCTTAAATGATGCCCTACTTGCGTCTGTGTTTGTGTTTGTGTGATTCTTGAAGTCCTATTAAATGTAATTACACGAACAATAATACTTCAAGAGATATTTTTTTGATATTTTTTACCATAAAATATGGTTACATTTTACCATTTTGGGAGGGGAGGAGAGGGCTTTAGCCGAAAGCCCTCCCCCTCCTGTAGATCCGCCTGTGCTGGTCCGTATCTTAATTCGGAGATTTTTGTACGGAAATTTATTTTAAATTTAACAACAATTAGGATAATCCAAATCTACCCTGTATTGATAAGAATAGTGCCGCTTTAACCCTTCTCCACAAACATCCTCACCTACAGCCTTAAATGATGCCCTGCTTGCTCCTCTTTACATTCACTTCCGAATTAGTAGAAGTATAAAAAATTCAAAAAGTTTTAATGTATTTTTGGAACGTCGAACATTAATAACTGTACGAAATTATTCATTGCATTCTGAGATATATGAAAAAAACAGCGAATTTTCATTAAGCAGTTTATCAAAAATATTAATCTATACAAAGTTAAAGAAGATAAAATTTATTATAAATGTCATTCACAGTAATTTTTTTAATTTAAGATCAACGGCTGAAGAGTTAAAGCAAGTTGACTATTTGTCTCCTTCAATAAAAATAGCTGTTTTCGTCTGTTTCCTTAATAGCTCATAACCTACGCATTTCTCGAAGAAATTTGAAGAAGAAGAAAATTTAAAGGGCGTTAAATTTCCTGTAGATCTCATGTAGATCCATAAATGACTCATTTTTTTTTTAATGTTACAGTAAATGTTAATGCTATTCACGGGCGGATCTACGGGGGGGGGGCTTTCGGGCTGAAGCCCCCCCCAAAATGGTAAAATATAACCATGTTTTATCGGAAAAAATATAAAAACATTATCTTTTAAAGTATTATTATTAGTATAATTACATTTAAAAGGGCTTTAGGAATCACTTAAACACCAGTTCATATAGGTTCTTAGTTTCTTTCTTATTTTCCAAACTAATTATCGTTATTTTTATGAAAAAAAAAGCTTTCGGGCTGAAGCCCTCCCCCCCAAAATTAAATCCTGGATCCGCTAGTGATGCTATTTCTTATGAAGTATGCAAATAGTTGCTCTAACTTCTCACTCCTTAATTCTACATTAAATTTTATCTTCTTCAACTTTGTATACATTATTATTTTTTATGAACTTATTGCCCAGTAACCTTGTCATGAAAAGGGGCTCTAAGCTACATCGATTTGGGGTAGAACGTTTCTTTTTTATTTCTAGTATGGGGTTTGACTGAGATGCAAAATCCAAGTTTTGGACCTCGGCGCCCCCCCGGATCACTTTTTAAAATTCCTAAAACTGCTATATTTTCGCACTTTTGCGGGTTTTCCCCACTTTGATTATGAAGGAGCACGTTTTCGACAAAAAAATTTTCTTTACAGTTTTAAACAAGATTAAATAAATTACAATTCAACACCATTCTCAGTAAATCAAATAGTTCACGAGATACAAATTTTTTTATTACAGATATTTATTTTCCATTTAAATTCCAAAGACCAAAACAGGTTCAGTAAGTTTAATAATTTTTGAGATACAGGTTTTCAAAGTTTTTTTTAATTTATCGAACTTGAAAATTTTAAGCTATTTTCCTGTTTGATCATATACACTTTTTAAATTTTACATCTCAGTCACATCCCTTACAAGAAATAAAAAATATGTCTTCCCATTCGATGCAACTTAGACCCCCTCTTCATGACAAGTTTACTGGACTATAAGTTAGCAAACGAAATTTTTCATTGCTTTGCGAGATATATTAAAAAATTTAGCGAAATGTTCTCACTTTTGTCGGGTCTTTGGCCATAACTCCGAAGCTATGCATTTCATCGAAAATATTAATCTACGCAAAGTTAAAGAAGATAAAATTTAATGTAGAATTAAGGAATGAGGAGTTAGAGCAACTATTTGCGAACTTCAGAAGAAATATCATTAACATTTACTGTAACATTAAAAAAAAAAGTCATTTATGAATCTTCATGAGATCTAAAGGAAATTTAATGCCCTTTCAAATTTCTTCGAGAAATGCATAGGTTATGAGTTATTAAGGAAACCGAGGAAACAGCTATTTTTATTGAAGAATGCAAATGCTCAACGTTTCAAAAAAAAAAAAAAAACATGAAAACCTTTTGAATTTTTTATACATCTAATCTACTAATTCGGAAGTGAATGTAAACAGGAGCAAATAGGGCATCATTTAAGGATGTAGGAGAGGATGTTTGTGGAGAAGGGTTAAAGCGGCACTATTGTTATCAGTACAGGGTAGATTTGGATTATCCAACAATCCTAATTGTTGTTAAATTTAAAGTAAATTTCCGTACAAAAATCTCCGAATTAAGATACGGACCAGCACAGCCGGATTACAGGAGGGGGAGGGCTTTCGGCTAAAGCCCCCTCCTCCCCTCCCAAAATGGTAAAATGTAACCATATTTTATGGTAAAAAATATCAAAAAAAAATATTATCTCTTGAAGTATTATTGTTCGTTTAGTTACATTTAATAGGACTTCAAGAATCACACAAACACCATTTCATATATGTCGCTAGTATCTTTCTTTTTTTTAGAGTATTTATCGTTATATATGAAAAAAAAAAGCTTTCGGGCTGAAGCTCCTCTCCTCAAAATGAAATACTGGATCCGCCAGTGCAGACCAGAGATTTTTGAAATTTGTCTGAATTTGAAGAACTCTTGAGAATTGAGGTTTGTAGGAGGGGTAATGGGATGGTGGGGATAAACAACGTGACCTCCCTCCCCTCCAGCAGATACAATTTAACCTCTGAGGTTGAGTTCGAGGCGCCAGTGCTCTGATTGTCGTCAGAGCGATGTACGTCGCTGTTTTCTTCGTAGCCGTCTTGGGGCTCTGCTCAGGGTACCCCAGCCAACCCAAACCTACATGTGGTTATGAGGTATGTCGTATTCTGTCGGATAATAACTAGCAGTGTATGTGAGACTGTCACTATCATTGAGAACGTTTTACAACGTTATCTACTAAAACTATGATGTACTAATACTAGATGCCAAACTATTTTAAATTTAAAAAATATATATTGTTCCTGATGGATATATTTTTTTTTTTATCTATGTTATAATGTGTTTAATTTTAGAATGTTCATCTAATTCAGCGCGGGCATTTTAAAACTGTTGATAATAATTTCACCATAGAATTATTTTTCTAATAAAAACTTGGCGAATACAAAGTTTCAATGCTAATACTACCAATCACCATTTGTCTACTTCCTTCCATTGACTCAATTCCACAAGGTCAGGCTTAAAGGAATCCTCCCACCTACGGTGCGGCCTATATCTCAGCTAAACTTTAAAGAACTTAAGAGATTCCTTGATTATTACGCCAAACGACCTATTATTTTTATTTTATTTAGAAGAGGCATAACCTGCAGTTCCGCTTTTACGCCATAATTTTCTTTATAATGAATAAAGTGAGATACGTTTTAGTAATTCTAATGGATTGGATCATTTTGAAATGTTCATTATTGAAATTCCAATAAAATGGTATCTTTTGAAAATTCTTTGAAATATAGGTGGGACTAGATTTGCATTTGTTTATGTTGCTTTATTATATTGTTCATCATGCATTGACTCAAGTTAACTCGCTCCTACGAAGGCTTTTCTTAACTCCTCATTAACATTTTCTCTTTCGTTAAAACACAGTTCATTTTTTTCTCTAAACAGCAATACATTGATTTCGATTTTTCTGACACATTCTTCTTCGATTTTTTCTTCTTCGGGATTAAAAGTGTCTACTCGGCGGTGTTCCTGAGATCCTCCAGACCACCGACTAGCTTGTGCACAAGTAACGTAGCCATTGGAAGCAGACTCTCCTCTGCGATGACCACCCAGCACTCGCAGTTCGGTACAGCTCTAGTGGAGATCGCTGCTAAAGCTGCAGAGGATCAAGAATACCGGAATTAAGCTTTTCCTTTTCTGCCGATTTTCTCAATCGTAAATAAATATTTCATTTAAAACATTTCTTTTTCCGTTTTACTACTATAAGGTAATTGCATTTGTTTTATGACGCTATTTTGGGTCAGTTCACGGATGGAATAATCTCTGATGCATATGTCAGATTTCCAAATCTCACAACTTTGTATGTTTACCTTCACTTTACTACTTCATAAGAACGTAGAGGATATTAGCATTCTGAAGAAGGAGTGGCAGGCTCACATTCCATTTTTCTTTTTTTTTTTTTGTTTATATTTTGTTCATTATTTTTATCCATACCAGTTACTTACATCGCGACATACGAATATAATCTGGCATGTCCGAATTCAGCTTTTACTTTATTTTAAAAATTATTTACCCTTTAAATGAAGAGTTCATTTTTAATATTACATTGAAACATTTCCGAGTATTGTTAACTCCATCAGTGGTACTAGGTAATGTCAGAGCATGTGTGTAGAGAAAGAAATTGGTTCCTTATAAGCTTATTTGGTAAACTTTTTTGTTCCATAAGAATATTCCTTCATTACAACCTTCAGAACTACGTGAAGAAATTGAAAAATACTTTATTTTTTTTTGTTTTGTCTTCCCCTTCCTCGCCTTTTAGGTTAAATTATAAATTATAACACATGTACAGTTACTTAATGTAAACATATCAAGGAAAAAATTAATAAAAAAATTAGCTTACTCATTGCTATTGTCTCTGCAATTATCTTATTTATTATTATTTATATTTTTTAACAGCTCTTTAGTGATTTCTTATACATCATTTGATATAGTTTCTTTATTTGTTTTCACTCAGAGTGTTTACCGTGATAAAAGAAAAATGAAAAAAAAAGTAGAAAAAGATCCTCCTCAAAAATGAAATCCTGGATCTGCTAGTTGTAGTCATCCCCGGCAATCAAACATTTTTTCAAGTCATTATCTTCATTCCAAAAGCCGATAATTGTTTGAGCCTATACAGATAGGTACTCGAACCTTTATACTTTGGATAACATTGCTCAAATCTTTATCGCTCCAATCCGGTATTTTTCTGCTTACTAACGTTAAATTAGTCTAGTATCTATTTATTAGTAAGCCGATTAACTCAGTCAATCTACCTTCCAGCCATGGAACCGCAGGCTCTGTTTATCAATTTTGTCTCAATCAAGTTCATGTATTTCGGCCGAACAAAATCTATCGGTAATAAATAATTTAGTGCATAATTTCATTGTTTTGGACCATACCCTATCACCAAAGTCTCGAACCTCTTCTTATTATGTCAAGCTAAATTTACGTCCAAATACTTTCCCTGTCTCCTATAGTAATCATTTTCTCGGTATGGTTACTAGCCCAGTCAAATTAGACGTGTTAACTTGCAAAAGGTCGGGTAATTCAAATTTCTTTTTTATATTGTTAGGTATGTTATGAATAAAAAAAATCCAAGTTTTCACCCTTGAAAGCATTGTGGGTTCGCTGTAGTGTTTCAAAAAACATTGAAATTTCGAACTTTTGTTTTGGTTTACACTAAATATTTCCTTTTTAGGACAACATAGATAAAAAGTGGTATTATCTAACATTTTTGTTCATAATATTTTTTTATAGATTAACAAGAGGCTAACTTTGAATTTTTCAAATTTTACCCATTTTGATTTTTTTCATATTAGTGCTGTTTCAGTTTTGAACGGAAGAATTGTGTAACGCCATTTTGAACCTCGTTCAGAGAAATTGGAGGTATTTCTAGAAGATAATGAGCCATTGAATGGACGGTAGTTGGAAGGTGTTTTGAAAAGTATGTTACACGATGAACCAGACCCCCCTACCGTGCAGCCGCACGTCCCAATAAACTGCATATAGTTGTGTTCCTTGTAATTATTTATTAAATGAAAACCAATGTTCGCACATAAAAAGTGGTCGAACTGTCCCAAAATGGCGTTCAAACATAGCAGGTTGACGTCTTTGACTTGAGTTAGTTTTTCGGTCACTGAGTTTCAGCATTTGGCTTAATTTCATCATAATTGACTTTCTTCTAAAGCTAAATAGTTAGAAGTAAAACATAAAAAAATATTAAAAAATAATTAGCTCGGGCAATAAAAAAACACCAGTAAAATCAAAAGTTTCGAGTCGTTAAAAATGAAGTTAAAAATCAAGCACCTTTTGTAAATAAACGGCCAACAATAACGAAAACATCTGGAGAATTCATTCCTCTTTCTAAAACACTGATTACTTTTTAAAATATTTGGAGCAGTTACTTAGTAAATACACTTAATCGGCGGAAAAGCGACACTGGCGCAGGCGTCTAGAGTTCTCTGCCACATCGTCAAGTATTCATAAATGTTTAAGTTATAGTATGCTATGATGATTGTATTAATTAACAAATATTAATATAATTTAATTGTCGTTTTTTTTTCTCAAAAACTCTACCCATTTTGAAAGCTCGATAGTTCGCATCCTGTTGGGTTTATAAAAAAATGTTAGATAATTTTAACCTGTTTAAGATTGAATATAACCATTTTTTATTTATGTCAAAAAGGAGATATTAAGCGTAAACCAAAAAAGTTGGAAATTTCATTTGTTTTTGGAGCGCTGCAGCGGACCCACAAGGCTTTCAAGGGTGGAAACTTGGATTTTTTATTGTCACTGCCACTAGCGGATCCTGGATTTAATTTTTTTTTGGGGGGGAGCTTCAGCCCGAAAGATTTTTTTTTTTTATAAAAATGACGATAATTACTTTGGAAAAAAAGAAAGAAACTAACTATCTACATAATTTTTTTTTTTTATTCAGAAAAAAATACATTTTGCTTCAATCAAGTGCATTGAGTATTTGCGATGTGAGAAACTCATTCATACAATACATACAATTACAAAAATAATAGAAATTCGAACAAAATAAAATAAGAAAGCTTAGTAAAACAGATGAAATAAAATATGATGCAACGCAGATTAAAAAAAAAAAATAAATAAATAAGAAAAAATAATAACATTCATGCTTATTTACAATATTTACAGTCAACTGAGGGATCTCCAAGTCAGGCCTTTTCACCCACGTGTGGAAGATAAGGCAGGACCTTAAGAGGTCCTAGCGCTTCTCAAGGACATAAGGGATGTTAAGATCATGATGTAGAGTTTTGTTTGTAACATAAGAGGGAGCAATCTATATGAAATGGTGTTTAAGTGATTCCTTAATTCCTTTTAAATGTAATTACACGAACAATAATACTTTTTATAATATTTTTCCATAAAGCATGGTTATATTTTACCATTTTGGAGGGAGGGAGGGTTCAGCTGGAAAGCTAACAATATAAAGAAGAAATTTGAATTACTTTTGCAAGCTAGACCACTTTTTTGTGCTAATTTGACTGGGCTATTCCTCAGAGCTAAAACAAGTAAGTTGTACCATAAAAACAAACTGACATTGATAGCTTTGGGTTTATTTCCTTTCTATTTTTACTCTGCATTTAGGGTTTTGTAATGAGAAAATCGACGTAGTACTTGAAGACAATAAACGGGCAGTCTTCTTTGTCGATTGTTCTAGTTTCATTATCCTATGGCTCTTCCGACCCAATGACCTGTAGGTTAAGCTCTCCCAGCTGACTTTCGCATTCTCCCATTAACTAATTAAATTATAATGGATTCGTTTGTCATTAGCTGGATGACACGGCTGTAAGAAATGAGTTCATAATTGTCGCATTCACGATAGTGCAACAATGGGGTACTTTTGTTTTCAATGTTCATCATTAAGTTCAAATACGAGCTCGAATTCCTCCACATCTCAATTATCATCATAAAATTTTGACTTTGCTTGTTCACGTATTATGTTATAAAAACATAGTTGATTAAATATATAAATGTTTTCAATTTAATATTATTTGAATTTTTTCCTCTTCTTATAATGTATTCTTTGAAATTATATATAACATTTTCTAACGTATCATTAACCCCAAATTATATACATATTACCATTATAAAT